ATGCCGTAGGAACAGCTGGCGGCAGGCAGGCAGGCAGGCAGCGGCCCCATGCGCGGTTTAGCCATCGCGGTCCATAGCTCGTCCCTGAGTAGCGGCGGCGGCTCCAGTCGAGGTTAAGCGTAGGAAGCCCGTCCCTCGGACGGATGGAGGCCGCGCCTGGGAGCTTACTGAGGTTGGCTACAACCGGAGGCCCACGGCGGTGGGTACTGCTGTTGATGTCGCTTGCTGGCCATAGCGGCAGCCCTGACAGGCCCTCAATGTAGGAAAGAAATTTTTTTTCCTGCGTTCACTGCGTTCATGTTGGCTGATGTTGTTAGGCTCTGCGGGAATCGCATATCAATCCCATCCTCGTCGCCAGTGTTGTAAACTCGTGTGTGAGTGTGAGGGAATTGACACGCAGGAGCCATGTGCAAGACAGATCTTTATTATAACACAGGTGACAAGCGATTCAAAGATTTCCCTTCAACTGTCAGGGTATTTATACTAGCACTCAGACCAACTGTCAAAACGACCAACCAATCAGGTCGCAGCTGGTATTTGCATATTGAATATGCAACACTTTGATCCAAATATTTGGCTGAATTCTATTAGCAACCTATTTATTTAGGCTCCCTGAAAGTCCTTATATGAGCAAACTCCTGAAAATAACTGCTTTCCTGTAACATTCCAATTGAATTGAGTTGATGAGCTCAAATTTATTAATGAATAACAAATCCAAGACAAAGGACTATATTTAAGTGACATTGAACTCTGTTTATTTTCAAAACAATGAATATGAAACTGTGTGTAATGGTACATTGCAATTCTTTGCATTAATTATCCAAAGATTTATCTAAAGCTCTCTGGTGCTCAACTAAATCCCACCAGCATTTTTATATAATATAATCTTTGTTTGAAAACATCATCATGTACTTTAAAATAGTGATTTGCAATCTCCAGGATACCAAGTAAAGATCACTTTATATGTATTTGAAGAGGTTTTTGCTTTTTTGCGCGACTGAATAGCTGATGATGATGACAATGGTTTAGAATTCAGTTTTAGTGATGGATAGAAATATTTTAAAAGGCAGGATTATCATTGGGAAATGTAAGCAAAGCATAACTGCTTACTAAGGAGGGTCTACAACTATTTTAAAAAGGGAACCAACCCTCATTGAAATGATCCAATTTATAAACAGAATAAATAGTGGATCCTTTTTCTGTCCCTAAAGGCCAGCCTAAAAGGCAACAATCAGATAAATGAAACTTGAGTCAAAGCCAAGAAAGTAATTTGCAAAAATGAGTAAAATGGTGCCCAACTCCCATTCTCCTGAAGATAAAAGGAGACAATCAAACTATTCAAGACTGATATCAGCCCTATCAGGTAGATCAGACTAAAGTCAAGGTGCAGACTTAATCTTACTTTTATTAGAACAGCTATATTAATAGAATTTTGCACGTCTATAAATTCTTCCTATTTTGAATGTTGAGATTCCCAATGGTCAATCAGACAAAATGTGAAAAGAACAGGAACAGGAAAGAGTTTGGCTGGATTGTTAAAGGAGAAAAAGTTTTGTTTTCAGCAATGCAGTTATATTGACAATTAAAGAGCCTGTTTGTTTGTGAAGATGTGATTATTATTTCGGCAACTGTGGCTACTTACTGCCCCAGAAGAAAGAGTCCTCAACATTCTAAATGGAATGGCATCAATGACTATAGTGGGCAATGAAAAACCATATGAACTATCACTTTTCAACTCTTTCTCCATTCCATTGTAGTGGAAACTAAGACAATAGTGATAGTTAGTCTCATCCNGAAAATTTTACTACTAACAGAGATACAAAAGTGGGCGGTAGGTATAAAAAGGTTGACTACCCCTGTGCTAGATAATGTATAACTCTAAACCACAGGAAAACGCTGGAAAATGAATCCTCGAATTAATTTAATTCCCACCTCTGAACCACAGGGGAGATGGTAAGGAGATAGTAAGGAAACATTTTCTTATGTTCTATTTCTATTATTATTATTCAGAAAGTTAATATAAATAATCACATAGAAAGGAGTGAAGAGAATAACTATTTATGTGCAAAGAAGAAAGAAAAAAGAAACATTGGTAAAAACACTAGAAAGCGTCTTAATTACAAGTTATAATCTTATTTCCCATTGTACCCCAACTGATAGTTACAATCAGTATGTTTGAAGCGTTAGGAGTTGTCTCTAATTTTCATTTATTTTTCTTTTGTTTTTTTCTTTCTTAGAAACATATTGTGAATATCTGAATCTGCCTTGTTGTGTCATACATGATAGTTAAGAGAGCTGTGGTTAAGCTTGTTGTGTATGTATACCATTACTTTTGCTATTGCTATAGAGCAGGGGTGTCAAACGTGCGCCCCACGGGCCGGATGTGTCACATGCTGGTCATGCCCATGTCTTTATCAAGGGGGGGGGGAGTCGTGATATGTCACGTGACGATGCTATGATGACGCAAGTTTGACACCCCTGCTATAGATGCTCCAAGTTTGCTTCCAGTTCATCTGGAAGAGATTTCTGATTTGATAATATACTCCAATTAACTGTGTCCTGGTATTTATATTTAGCAGTATGTTTCCTAGGAAGGGATCCCATAAACTATTCTAACCATTTATCTTCTAAAGTGGTAAATTAATACACTCCCCATAATTAATAAAAAATATGGGCAATAATTAAATGTGCCACTTACTTGCAGCAAATATTGTCAAATACAAATACAATAATAAAAGTTTACAGCTTTACAAAATAAAACACATTGGATAAGATCAAGAAATAAATTGATTTAAAACAATTGTAATGGGAAGGATGAGCTTGCTTTGTTGCATAATTCCTGAAATCTGGTTTTCATTTTAATTCACCTGCTTTCATTTCTTGTTCCATATTTATTTTGCATAGATATAAGCATTTTATTTCAGCAACCATAGAAAATCTAGAATTATAGAAATAGGGTCCTGCAAACTTTAATAACTTAATATAACTAAAGGCTTATCACTTTTAATTTTTCTCTCATCATCCAAAGATTTTTCCCCATTTTAAAAGACATTCAAGATAATGTTTAAAAATACTGAACTTCTACAAACATCCAGGAGGTGATTGATATATTGTTACATGCAGTGCTAGTGGAATGCCAGAAATCCATTATTATTTTAAGAAAAGCCAATCATCGTTATCTCTAAGACAATAATGCAAAAAATGTAATGTGATTGTTTTTATGCTAACAAATGCTGGCTTTTCATTGTGAAAATCCTTAGATTTATCAAATGAAATAAAATTCTGCAGATAACTGGTGCTATTTGTTGTAACTGAATGGGACAATATAAGATAACTTTATTTTTCTTGGAGTGATTAGCACATTTAATAACACTGTGGAAAATATTGCTGGATGGAAAATCTTTAGCACTTCAACAAGTCTCTGGACAGCTTAATTTTGAAATGATATTTTATTTCAATTCAGAAATCATTTAATAACTATGTAGAAGCAAAAAAAAAAACACGTCCACCTCATTACCTTAAACATTGGATATAAGGGATTGATTCCCCACCCCCACCCCATAAGCTTTGCTATTATGCTTACGTATATGGAGACTTTGAAACTTTCTTATCTGAAGGTCTCAGCACATATTGGATGAATATATTGGTATTTCTATACTGTATATTCCTTCTTCACTCAGGTTATGTAGCACTTGAGATACAGCACATATTGTGTGTATATATGTGTGTGTCTGTGTGTGTATGTATGTATGTATGTATGTATGTATGTATGTATGTATGTATGTATGTATGTTTGTGTGTTTTATTTGTGCTGATAAATAAATAAAGGGAGACTAGTATAGATCTATTTCAAGCTATTTAGCTCTCATCAGCTAGCCATACCCTTACTGGGATTCGAACCTGTGCTGTATTGCATCTTAGGCAAACGTCTTAGCCATTATGCCACAGGTCTCCTCCTTATCAGCTGAAGCCAGGGAAGAAGATATATATTTAGTATCACAACCGCTGGTAAGCCCCAATTATGGGAGGAAGCTAACTGCTTCCATTGTCTGTCAATCAGCTCGTCACAAGAGTCCATCACGACAGAAACCCAATATTTTTACTGTTGCCTATGTTATATTTGTGTTTTATTTGTGCTGATAAATAAATGAAGGGAGACTAGTATAGATCTATTTCTATTTCTATTTCTATTT